GCAAGGATGACGCTCAAATTCGTGAAGCGTTCCATATTTTGTGCGGTCCCTGGAAGGTCATTCCCCTATTTGCTGACTACCTCAATCAAACAGCGGGAGTCAAAGCAAAAAGAGAAAAAATTATTCAGAAAATATCCACTGAATTTGGCAGTTAGGAGGTCGTGGGTGGTCTTGCTATGAGCAGTAAGAGGGGGAGGAAGGAAGGCTGACTGCAATAGGATAACTAAGAGAACTTTATTTTGAAAGGGAAAGTCTCCAAAACTTGGAAACAAGGCAAAAAGGTGAGTGTTAAGTCCTTTCTATGTCCAACCAAGGACTAGGGTATTGCACTTTGTACATCTCTCCATTTACTGTTGATTAAAGGTCCCTACACTTAATCTGCACATTAACTTACAGCTTTTGTCCAGTAGGAATACAAATCCCTACTTTCTTTCCAGCAGAACAGATACGCCAAAGGTTATAGTTTATTATCCTGTGGGACATTAACCAGCTTGTATCCAACATACATGTTCATTTTATATTTACATGAGTGTCTTTTAAAAGTTTACTTGCAAGGAAAATTTACAGTGAAATCTAGGCTTTAGAAGAACTGGCTCACCAAAAAGAAATTACACCAAATATTTAAGGGAAAAACATAGCTTCCAAGTTTATAGAGTCTAGAATTAGTTTGTTCATGGTAGGAAAAAACCGATTCTCACATTGTCATATTATCACGTTTTGAAACATGAGCATTGCAAAAGTTAGTGTTTTTGATTGATTTTAGGGAATCTAATTTTATGGGAAAGGCTCAGGCTCAAGTTTCATTTATATATGTAACTAGAACTAGACACAATAATCTCAAAGAGTGTGTGTGTGTGTGTCTGTGTGTGTGTGTGTGTGGTGGTAGTAATGTCATCATTTTTGTTTTATCTTGGGATGCAAAGTTTTTTGTTTTTCCTGATTTTGGGATCCAATGTCCCAATTCCTCAGAATGGCAGCAGGGCAAGGAGTTGGTTTTGCTTCTACATGTTACATGTAAGGACAGTTACAGGATGCAAGCAGAGAGACACCAAATTGATTTTGTTTTGTTGACTCTCAAGGATGGGAGATTTGAGCTGTTTTAGATGCTGGCAAAAAGGAGAGGCTGGAGGTAATCACCAGCCTTGTTTAAAGGAAAGGAAAGCAGAAGGGTTAGAGTCTCAATTAGGAAGTAGGAATACTGGAAAAAAACCAGAAAATTGCCTTCAGAACATAGGCTTTTCGGGTTTAAGATTTTAGAGATGGGCAGTTCTACAACATGATAAGGTCTAAGGTGTGGTCATGGATGTAGGTGGCTGAGTAATAAAATCAGAGCTAATATTTATAGACTGCTTACTATTCTCAGAGACCGTGCTAAGTGGTTTTATGTGAGTATCCTGAATTTAATTCCCAATGTTACTAGGTATTCTAGTCCCCATTTAAACACAGAAAACAGAGGCCTCTGAGAGTTTAAATAACAAGCCCCAAGTCATGGCTAATAAGTAGTAGAAACTATTTGAAATTGAGAATCTAAAGCCTTTTCTCAATATCTAGGGATTACTTCCTAAACTTCCTTGTTAATCATTTGGGGGTGTATTAAAAACAGATTTCCAGGTCTAGTAAATTCATGAAAGCAGTATTTACCAATTGCCTACTGCACTGTCTCTATTCTAAGTGCTAGAAATGAGGTGAACAAAGAGATCCTGCCTCGGAGCTTAAGTTTCTCAATCTCAGCATTGCCGATTCTTTTCTTGTCAGGGGTGATCTATGCATTGCAGGATGTTTAGTAGTGTTCCTGGCTTCTACCCACCAAATACCAATAGTATTTCCCCAGTAGTGACAACCCAAAATGTCAAATATATGGGGACAAGGGACAGCAAAAATATCCAAATTTGCCCCCCATTGAGAATGACTGCTAAATTGGAAAGACACTAATACATTTCAGGTGGTATAAGTATAAAGAACAACAGCCTAAGAGAGTGGAGAGAAACGGTAGAATGGTTGGTCTAATGGTTTTGACCTGTAAACTTGGCTAGCCTACCACCAAGTTTTCAGTCAAGTGTTGCTGTGAAGATATTTTGCATAGGTAATTAAAGCCCTTAATTAGTTCATTTGAATAAGGAAGGTTATCCTGGATAACCTGGGTGTGCCTGACTGAATCAGCTGGAAGGCCTTGAACGCAGAGCTGCGGTTGGTTTCCCTGAGAGGAATGGCGTTTCACCCTGCTTGTGTTCTTCCCTCTGTGACTTCCCGTGGATGAAAGGTTCAATCTGTTCTCAGGGGACACAGCCTGCCCGTCTCCTCCATTCCTGCCTGCCTGGCCTACAGATTTTGGACTTGCTTAACCGATTTCCACAACTGTGTAAGCCAATTCCTTGCTATAAATATCTACCTATTTACCTCCTACTGATTGTTCTTCGACTGAAACTTAACTAACACAGTCCGGACAAGCCTCCCTAGTGTTACTTTTGAAAGACCTAAATACAGTGAAAAAATGATCTGTGATGGTCTAGAGGAAGAGCATTCTGAGCAGAGAGAAGTCACAGAATACAGACTGGAAGGTGAGAGCAAACCCAGTGGGTTCGAGGAATAACAAAAGTGCTAGCGTGTTAATAAACCAGGGAAATGGCAGAAGGAAGAGTGTGGGAGACGAGTTCTGTGAAATAAGACAGGAGGCTCATAAAGGTGAGGTAAGATCATGTAAAACTTTAAAGTTCACAGTAAGGAGTTTGCACTTTAAGCCTAATAGGAAGCCGTTAGAGGTTTTTAAGCAAAGGGATATAATGATTTGAAAAGATTTCTCTGACTGCTCTGTGGAAAACTAAGTATAAAGGCACAGTGGGGAGACAGAGAAACCAGTTAGGAAGCTAAAAATTCAGCCAAAATAATGATGGCTTGGTCTTGGGTGTGCAGGCTAGGAAAAATAACTTTTCCTTCCATGCATCTTGCTGGGGCCCCTGTAACGAAATACAGATTAACAAGAGAAGAGCACACAAACTTATTGACTATGTTTTGCATGACAAGGGGAACCTTCATAAAGAAATGAAGACCCAAAGAAACAGTTAAACCTTAAGTGTTTTTTATAGTAGGTTTGATGAAGAACGCAGAGTTGTGGGAAAATGGGATAGGGCAAAAAATCTAGGGAAACTTACCAAGGCCTGATGTTCATATTCCTTTTTGTGTCCCTGTGTTTTCGGAGCTAAGGATGCTCCTTTCCTCCAGGTATAGGGAGCCACCTCTCACATGCGGGTCTTATGCCCTGCTGCGGAGGAGAAGGATGATGGAGGGTCAGAGAGACATTCGTGCACACGCCGTTTCTCAAATTCCTTCAATGTAAAGTTGTCAACATGCCAAGATGCCATAATTTGGGGTAGCATGTCCTGAAACCCATCAGGTGGTAGTAGTGGAGATTATGAGAAGTGGTTTGACTCTCAACATATTTTGAAAATTAGGCCAGCAAGACATGCCACAAAATAGGATGTAGGGCCTAAGATTGCAGACTCAGCCATGACTCCTTGGCATGAGCAATTAAGAAAATGAGATGACCATTTACTGTATTAGGTCAAGCGTTCATCCAATGCAACAGGATATTTGTTTTCATTAAACACTGGTTGGACACTTTTTAAAAACTGAGGTATAATTAACATACAATAAAATACACAGCTCTTAGGAGTTCAATTCATGAACTTTGACAATTGTATATATCAGTGTAACATTTCTATCACCCTGGAAAATTCCCTTATGGATCTTGAGCATGACCTACAACAAGAAACTACGCACACAAACATAAATTTATGGCTCAGTGAAATGACTAAAGTGAACCCACCGATCTAACCAGGATCCAAATCAAGAAAAGGAACGTAACTTGGACCTCAACAGCCCCCTGGTGGCTCATTTCTGTCATTGTCCTCCCCATCCAAGGAAAGACTATACTCATTTTTGACATTGTAGGCTAATTAGTTTTGCTGGTTTTAGACTTCATTTAAAAGGAACCAAACGATATGAACTTTTATCTGGCTTCTTTCCTTCAACGCCATTTGTTTTACGAAATTCATCCATGCTTCGTTTCGGTAATCTATTTCTGTACCACACTTCGGATTCTTCGCTAAGATAATGGTCAGCCTCCATTTTTCCAGCAGCTTTTTTCCTTCTCTGACTTGCAGATTCTAATCGCTGCCTTGGGCGATCATACAGCTGAGCGGGGGCTATTTGACCTCTCACGGTTACGATTTCAACTGTGTTGGCAGACGTCTTCACGCCGCCAGAGACTAAAATAATCTCACAGGTGGGCTTTTCCGGGGTCTTACTGAATTGGGTAGGCTAGAACGAGGACAGAACATGGCCCCGAGAAAAGTAATTTTATTTTTCCTTTGACGGAACAGGCTCACGAATCCAAACCCAGTTGAGAACCACAGACTGTTGGAATGGTCTGAAAGGGTCGAAGGCACCAGGAAAGGGTGTGTCAAGAGTCCCACAGGGAAAGGCGGGACCGACGTTGCGCCCACAGCAAGGCAGCCTTTCCTCAGCTGCCTCAACCCCGGGCTGAGCCACGGGGCCTGGTCACGTGCCCAAAGCAGCCCCGCCTCCTACCGCGGCCCGCGATGACGCCACCACGTCGGAGATGCTAGAGCGCCATGACGTCTCCAGCGCGACAAACCTCACTGAAAATCAACCTATTCCCGTCAGGAAACCTCCATGCTTAACGCGTTCACTCTTTCCCGTTTCAACATAACTAGGCAGCGCCTTCTCCCCACCGTTTTGCCTTTCTCTCCAGTAAGCTCGCTTGCCCAGACAAGATGGCTGCCTGCCTGGTGTGACGTCCTAGAGAGGACGGAAGCAAACGACTCTCTAGCCAACTTCCGACTCGGACTCCGAAGACCGGTACGTTGTTTCCGGGGCTGGGTTAAGGCGGCCGTTCCGAGTTGCGACTGCGCACCCCGCGCAAACGCGGTTAAAGTATAATACATAACACTTTTCGGGGCGCAAGGAAGAGGCGCTGCTCTTCCCGAAGTACTGGTTCGCTCGCGAGAGTTTGGCGCTGCTAGGAGGCTCGGCGGGTGGGCGGGGCAAGGCTCGATGGGGCGGGGCTGAACGAGGCGGGCGGGACTCCCGGTGGGCGGTGGCGGCGGCAGCAGCAGCCTCGCGAAGGTTCTAGAGCCGCCGCGTGCGGAGGGCGGGCGGTGACCGCGCACGGGGCCGGCTGTGCGCACAGGCTGCCGGCATTGCGACTCTCGCCGTGGGGTCTGCCCTCGGGGTGAGCGCGCGCGGTGCGGCATTTCCTGTTCCCTCCTCTGCGTGGCTGCAGCTTGGGCCTTCGGCCTGACCCAGCCGACCATGGCCTCAGCTCTGGAAGAGGTAAGGGGTCCGGCTTCACCTTCCTCACCCGCCCCTACCGCCCCGTCTGTGTGCGCGAACCGCCCCGCGGCGAGCCGATCCCGCGCCTTCCCCTGGGGCCGCCGCCTTCGCCCCTGCTGCGTTGTCGGGTCCCGCGCGGCCCCTCGCCTGCCGGCCCGCGGTCGTGTGCGGCGAGCGGCAGGGGCGTGCCGCGGTTGCTGAGCGCAGGTAGCGCCGATGGTGGATGCGGGAGAGCTGGTCACCTTCACGTTTCCTCAGGCTCTTCCGCTCCCGTTTTACTAGCTCTGGGACGGGACGCTTCATTAAATTCAAGCTGGTTGCAGAAACTCGGTGTCATTTCGTGGCAGAGGCGGTCGGAAGATGAGAAGTCTTTGGTGCCGGCACTTTAATTCTCTGACTCATGTCTGTTGTACACACGAGTAGCTGTGTTACTTAGGGCAAGTTATTTTGCTTCTCTGTGCCACAGTAGTATCCATTTCATAGGACTGGTAAAAGAAAAAGTATTACTTCTAAATGTTTAAACCAGTACTTGGCAAGCAGCAATCTGCTATGTGCGGTTTTTTTAAAATAAATAATTGGAAAGTTAGTTGTAACTAACGGTAGGAAACTGGCCTTTTAAAAAAGCTCTGTAAACTCTGAACGTGGGAGAATTAACTTTTTTTGAGACTTAGTTTGCTAAGTTAGAACATGGAAATAATGCGTAATTGCTCTTTACCTCGCCCTAAGTAGGATGTAAAGACGTGTCTGTTACTCACGGTAAAGTGTTGGGTATCTATTAACTAGATTTGCTTCCAGGTTGTTTTCCCTTCAATACAAAGAACAAGTACTGGGAAATCTCAAATTTGTCTTTAAGTAAAAAAAAAAAAAAAAATGCTTTAAATGAAGAAAAATGAGGTTTGTATGTTTTAAGTATTAATCTGGGTATTTTGCCGTAAGTTTAAGATGGCCTTGGGTACCATGTGCCCTGAGAACTCTGAAGTGGCTTTACAGTCACACATAGGGCTAGCTCAGTGTTATATTAATTCTCCTCAAAGTAAGGAACTTTCTCAATTTGGGTACTTAGAAATAGGCATTTAGGGGCACTTTTTTTTTTTTTTGCGTGAGATAAAATTCACCTTTTTAACCATTTTGAAGTGTACAATTAAGTGGTATTGAGTATATTATGCACAGTATTTTGCAGCCTTCACCACTGTCTAGTTTCAGAACATTTTCAGCACCCCAAAAAGAAAGCCATTAAGTGTCCTTTAAACAATTGCTCCCCATTCCTCCTTCCCCTACCCCCCTGATAGCCACTGGTTACTTTCTGTTTCTGTGGATTTGCCTATTCTGGGCATTTTATATAAATGGACTCAAACTTATATATGGCCTTTGGTTTTTGGCTCCTTAGCATGCGTTCAAGTTCATCCATGGTGTAGCATGTATCAGGACACAAGGTTTTTATGGCTGAATAATATTGCATTATGTGGATATATGGTACATTGTGTTCGGCCTTTCATTGGTTGATGGACATTTGAGTTGTTTCTACTTCTTCACTATTATGCTGCTGTGAATACTTGTGTACATATTATTATATGGTTGTGTTTTCAATTCTGAGATAATATCCCTAGGAGTGGAATTGTTTGGTCATATGGTAACTATAACTCTTTGAGAAACTAAACCGTTTAGAAAGTGTTTTTACCATTTTATATTCCCACAAGAAATGTATGAAGGTTCCAGTTTCTCCATATTATGGTCAACATTTGTTATTTTCTGGGGTGTTTTTGTTTTTATGATACCATCCTAGTGGGTGTGAAGTGGTATCTTGTGGATTTGATGTGCATTTCCCTATGACTAAAGATGTTGGGCATCTTTTCATGTACTTGATGGCCATTTGTATATCTATGGAGAAATGTCTGTTTAACTCCTTTGCCCACTTTTGAGGCACTTTGATTTTAATGTCTCCAAGTGAAGAATTCGGAAATAGATTAGAAGATAAGCTTGAATATGGTCATGGGTAGGATGAAAGGGAGGTACTATTTTGCATATGGAAAACAAATGCATGCTAAGGCAGCAAGGCAAATTACAAGATAGATTAGATAGATAGAAACTGCTGTATTTAGGACATCTTAAAGTATGTGTGCAGCAAAAGCACCAAGGGATCACTTTTGCTGGTTTCAAGTCTGCAAATAACAGAACTGAGGAACTACCTAAAAGGGGCCTGTTGTAAGTTGCTCCAGTGGATACCTTACGAAACAGTACTTTTGAGCCCAAACTGGCAATATAGAGGGCCTGGAAATTCAGCCATTATGGGGAATCCCTTGCTTAATTCTCCGTTCTTTTCTGAGTTTGCTAGAAAAAGGATTCGTATTCCAGTTAAAAAGCAAAACCTCTTGTTTAGACTTGGTATGTTTCTATTGGTTTTTGTTAACAAAATTCATACTCTGTGTAGCAATAAACTCATTTTACTTTTCAGTATTTTTATTTTGTTAGTATTAGAATCAATGTGATTTTTTTGAAACCATTATGATAAAAAGATTACTTTGAACTAAAACATCTTGGTTCTATGCTCAAAAGATGAGTTTGCATTTTCTTATTTTCTTGTCCTAGTGATGAGTTTTTCTTGGGAGGGTAGAGTGTGGACAGGAGGCTGGGCGCACAGCTGAACTTTTTATACCATGTTATCTGTTATAGATAGGTGAAACTAAGGCCTCTGAGTTAAATGAGATAATAAAAGACTTGGGGGTAAAAGAAAAGCGTTAGTTCTGTTTTTGCATTTTATAAGACTGTCAGGAAACAAAAGCTTTCAAAACTCTTGGACTTCTGATATTATCCTGAGTTATCAAGCACTTTATGATTTTTATTTTGAGCTTTTTATACAATCTCAGGCTGTAATGTAAGATTTTTCTGGTCAAGTTGCTAGTTGTCAAGCCAGAATGTAAAGTCATTGTAAGAAAAATGAATCAGCTTGGAAAGATCTTAGGCTATTTGCAATATGTCAGAGGATAATTGGGGGGGAAATTATAAGACCATTAATTTTCTAAGAGTCTTAAACTTCATAAAATGTTGGCTCCATCTTTAGAAAGTAGAAGACTTTGGTAGGTGATGTACTGGCATGAGAAGAAAACAAGAAACAGGGTGGCTCCTCAGATTGGTATCCAAGAGTATTTTGTTTTGGGTCTTTTGTCTAGGTTTTCCCTTCTGTGCAACCAAGTCATAGGCTTCTGACTGTAAGATTGACCCAATTTCAGAACAAGACTTTTTCTTAAAAGCAGAATTTTTTAAAAAATCTTTTATCATAAGAATTCAGATTTCTTCGTGTGTGGTAGGAAGATGAGTGAGGACTGATCACTCACAGAAAGGAGAGCATTCCTTACCTCAGTAAAGTTTTACTGTGGTGAGCATGCGTTCTCTCATCTCTTTTGTTTTAATATTTTAAAAATTTCTAACATCTGATGATAGTAGGACTGGGTGTTATTAAGAAATATGTGAATTCCTTTTTAAAAATATTTCTATGTTCTACTTTATAAATCATAAAAATTTCTTGTAAATAAAAATGTTCTAAAAACAAAGCTGGGTAATAGTCTACAAAACTGGAAAATTTAGGCTTGATTACCTATTGTTAAAGATTAAGTTTTCTTTTAAAAAAAGGAAGCTTGAGTTACTTACAATTCAACAGGCTGGAGGAAAGAATTGAAGTAGCAACTCAGATCTAGAAAATTTAGATGAATCTCTTAATTCTTAGCTTTTATTTCAATAAATTGAAATGAATAATAAGCGCAATATCAAACCATTGCCTTATTTATCATACAGCTAACTTACCTTTTATCTTAACACAGCTACAGAAAGATCTAGAAGAGGTAAAGGTGTTGCTTGAAAAAGCCACTAGGAAAAGAGTACGTGATGCCCTTACAGCTGAAAAATCCAAGATAGAAACAGAAATCAAGAACAGGATGCAACAGAAATCACAGAGGAAAGCAGAACATCTTGACAATGAAAAGCCAGCTGCTGTGGTTGCTCCCATTACAACGGGCTATACGGTGAAAATCAGTAATTATGGTATGACTTGCACCCTTTTGTCCACTTCTGCCTCCGAGCATCCTATTCCTCAGTAGCGATCCACTGAGAAACTAATTTTTAAAATAGTTTTGATTGTGTGTTTTGAGTGGCTTAGAAGAGGACTCCTGGTTTTTATTTAACAAAGTGCTTTACTTTTTAAGAGATAAAAAGGAAAGGACATGTTGTAGAAGCTATTAACAAGAGAGTAAGATGACTTAGTACAAAGACGATGAGTAGCAACAAGGAAAAACCTATTGTGAAATACATCTAGTATATATGGAACACAGCTGTGTTGCTGTCATGTTTTACGTTTCACTCTGCCAAACCACCACCAAAATTAACAGAGGAAGAGAATCCATTTAAATTCAAGAAATAATTTTGAGCACCTATTGTGCCACTATTGTGTTCGACTTGTTTTAATAGATACAGAACAATGGCCAAGACCCAATTCCTGCTCATTGTGTGGTTGGGACACAGACATGCAATTAATACCATAACAATGTAGTAATACTGTTTTCCCTCAGTGGAATGTAAACTTTTTCCTTTTGGAAGCACCGCAACTTGAATCTGAGCGATGACCTGTCGGGAGGACAGGGACAGTCTTATTTTTCTTTGTGCTCACAGTATCTAGCACATAATAGGTACTTGATAAATATTTGCTTAACTGAATTGAGATTTTATAAAGTATCAAGGGAAGAACCCTGAAGAAATAATTCTACAAGTGAGGAACACTCGGAGAATTAGAAGATTTTAGGTTTGAGTTTGAAGGCTGAGTAGTATGTTTAGCAAGTGGAAAAGGAAGGGAACAGCATGAGCAAAGGACATGAATATAGACTTGAAAGGCACGATGTGTTTTGAGTATCGTCACAGTGAAAAGCAATGTGTATGTCATGCTTACGAAATGTACTGTAAACTGGGGCAATTGCTTGTGCCTATAAGCCCAGCTCCTTGGGAGGCTGAGGCGGGAAGATTACTTGAAGCCAGGAGTTTGAGACCAGCCTGGGCAACATAGCAAGAACCCATCTGTTAAAAAAAGTGATAAATGTACTATAGTACTATAGGAGATGCACTATGTACTCAATTGATTGTAGGAAACTGGTCTGAAGGAGTCCAGGATTATGGCATTTTAACCAGGAACATAGATCTGTGTTTAGAGAGAAACTTGTCAGTTGGAGGATGGATTGAATGAGTGGGAAGAAAGTAGATGAAGTTCTGTAGAACCCTCTAGCTCATCTTTTTTGATTAACACTACATTTCTATTCTGTAAGACTAAGTGAGGAACAGTCAGCCATATGTGTGTACATATATTCTTGATAAACATAAGATGCTTTTTATGTGGTTGGCAGAGTTCCTCTAGGTTAGAGACTATTATAAATAGTTTGGTGATACATACTGAAATGGCATTTAATAGACAGTGGTAGGTTAGTCAGATTTTAATGGGTTTGGATGAAGAATTAGATCTTTTCAATTTATATTCCGCCTTCTGGAAAGGAATTGAGGAAGCTAGGATTGCATTTGTTAGACCAATTACAGAAGTAGAAACAATTACAGAATTAGACAGTACTGATGTTGAGCCATCCAGCTTAGTGGAGAACTACCAGTATTTAGGTGTAGGAAAAAATTATTTCCACAAAAAGGCTAAATGAGTTAAAGAATGTGTATTTAACAATCATATTTTTATTCTAAGGAATAAGAGCATGGGCTTTATGTTGAGAAACCTAGACTTGAATCTAAATTGTACCTCTTGTTAGATGCCTGATTCGGGGTTAGGCAAAGTACTTTGAGGCTCAGTTTCTCAGTCTAGAAAATTTTTTTATTTTTTTCATGTTTCTATTATTGGTTTCTCATTTTTATTTTACTGAGTTTTATTATGAGCCATGTGCATTTGCTGTTCTAAAGATAGTTTCAGAGACTTAATTGTGTCCCGTCTTGTTTCTGTTGCTGCTAGGATGGGATCAGTCAGATAAGTTCGTGAAAATCTACATTACCTTAACTGGGGTTCACCAAGTTCCCGCTGAAAACGTGCAGGTGCATTTCACGGAGAGGTGAGTTCCCGTCATAATAGGAAAGACAGTGATCATTAGGAGATTGCCTGTGGTACCCTTTTCTTTGCAGTTTCTAAAATTCTGCTTAAATTTAGAATTAATTATCCTTTGCATTTACTTTGAAGAGGTGAGTATTAAAATCATCTGGGATGGCCAAATGCACGCCCTGAAATAAAGCGGGTGGGTTTTTTTCACAAGAACTATAGAGTACCTTTCATAGAACCAGAAAGATAACATATTCACTATCGTTTTGTAGGTCATTTGATCTTTTGGTAAAGAATCTGAATGGGAAAAGTTACTCCATGATTGTGAACAATCTCTTGAAACCCATCTCTGTGGAAGGCAGTTCAAAAAAAGTGAGTATGCTTTTTTATCATAATATTGTGAAACTTCATGAAATTGAACCTGGCTGAGTTACAATTGAGGTGAACTAGAATTAATTTATCCTCTAATAGGGACCTGCTATAGCCCGCTGCCTGTTTTTTAAGTCATGTTTTATTGGAATATTGCCATGTTTGTTTATGTGATGTTTGTGGCTGCTTTTGTACTACAATGGCAGTTAAGTAGCTGTAACAGGCCATATGGCTCATGAAACCTAAAATATTTACTCTCTGACCCTTTCTATAAAGTCAGTCAAGTACTGTTTTATAAGAATAGATTATTTCCCTCCTGATTTTAATGCAATATTCTTAAAAACTTTTGATGTGGTTAAAGTGAGACTTAGTAATGCCAGCTATACCACTTATTCATTGTGACCTTTGCCAGCTTACTTAATCACTCCATGCCTCAGTGTCCCCATTTATACAATGGTCATAATAATTTATTCACAAAGTTGAAATGATACACTGAAATGAAATGATATATGTAAAGTGCTTGAATAATGGTAGTGTTGTTAGAAGCACGATGTGTAAGATACTGATATATAAAAGGAGGTCTTAAGCACTTGGCCTAGTTGGAGTTAGTAGAAGACATAAAAATAATGAAACTGCCTTTTAAAAAACTACTTTTCATATTTTTCACTAATCCAGAAATACCTCTGTTCTACCTAATTTGAGTAAATGAGGTTTAATGCATTAGGCATATAGACATGCTGTGCTGCTGTTTGTTTATAGTTATGTAGCAGCTTAAAGGTGATATTAAAATATAATTTATCGATTAGCTGTGTCTTACTGCATCCTTCTTCATCCACTAATCACATGGTTGAAGGAATACTCAGAAGATTCTGAGGAATTATATTGGTCGTTGTTGACAGAATTGTATTTTGCTCTTTCCTCTTTCTCACCTTCCATACACCTCACCTTGCTCCGTACTACCTTCCATGATCTGGTTTCCTGCCTGCCCTTGGACCCCTCTTAGTGTATTACTCTCTCCTCCAATAACTAATCCACCACTCCTCTTTTTCTTCAAATCAGGATCATCCCATCTTGGAGCCATTCTCCTTGCTGTGCCAACTGCTTAGAAAGCTCTTCTCCTAGATCTTAGGGTTCAGCTCGTATTTTTCCTCAGAGACACTTTCTCTTGAAGTTCCTACTCCCATGCCCCATCAACACCTTCTTTGTCTTAACAGCATTTATTAGTATTCGAAGGTATTCAAGTTTTACTTATTTATAGTCTTTCTCCTCCATGAGTGTTCAGATTCTGGCCTATTCGTAAAAGGATTAGCACCTAGAATAAGTCTTCTGTATACTTGGCACTTCATTAATTGAATAAATAATTGTTTTGTCAGTCGTCAATGCTTATCTCCATGTGTTCTAAGTTGTAACCTGTTTTCCTGCTTTTCTTCCAGGTCAAGACTGATACAGTTCTTATCTTATGTAGAAAAAAAGCAGAAAACACACGATGGGACTACCTAACTCAGGTTGAAAAGGAATGCAAAGAAAAAGAGTACGTCTGCTTTCATTTCTTTAAGAATTTTAATGTATTCTTTCCTGGGATTATAGGTTTTTAATAATTTGTCTTTATGGATAATAGTTAAGAGAGACCCAGATACCCACATATGCTTAATTCCTCAGATGTTCTGAACATGTAGCATCACTGTCACTGGTTTAGAATGAAAAACATAGAATATTTTTATCCTTCTTAGTAATGAATGCTTTAAAAAATGTATATTCAAAGATACTTCCATCCTAGGTCAGTTGTTCCTCTGCTTTAAATTTTCTCCTGCACTGCATTAAGTCAGTGAGCTGTCCACGTTTCTCTCACTCTTCCGCTCTGACAGCCAGTGTGCATTTGGGATGTGGTTCGCTAGAGTTACGCATATTGGACTATGTGGGGAATTGATCTTAAATCTAGAGTGAATTACCTGAGTACGGGATCCTGTCTTATTGTATCCCCAGTGCCCAGTACAGAATCTGGCCCTTACTAAATGAATTGGATGAATCAATTAAACGTAATTCCATGCTTTCATTTCTTGTTTATTTTGTGTTTTCTTTTTAACAGAAAGCCCTCCTATGACACCGAAACAGATCCTAGTGAGGGATTGATGAATGTTCTAAAGAAAATTTATGAAGATGGAGATGATGATATGAAGCGAACCATTAATAAAGCCTGGGTGGAATCAAGAGAGAAGCAAGCCAAAGGAGACACAGAATTTTGAGACTTTAAAGTCCTTTTAGGAACTGTGATGTAGAAATAACTGATGTTTCCAGTAAGGGAATGTTAGTGAGCTGCACATATAAATTTGACACATTCGACTATTTACACAGCCTTCTCCTAAGTAAAGGCAATGAATTCTCCATTTCCTACTGGAGGATTTATTTAAATAAAATATGCTTATTAAACATTTCCTGCAAAGACGGTTTCATTAGTACCCTGGTCATTTTGTTCAAGAAAGGATTATATTGCATTCATGTGTGAATGTAAAAAAGCAAGTCTTGCCTGATGAAGATGTTACATTGTGTGTATTTTTGTTAAGCCAAGAGGTAGAAAACAAAAGTATTTGCTTGCCTTTAAGTTACGGACGTCAGCTGCCACCAATGTAAGAGTAAGTAAGAGTAAAACCTGAATTTTTGCATAAAATACAAATCTGTACTTGAAGATTGCTGTAGAGTGGCTACTCCCTTATTACTAGCTTAAGCAGTGCATATGCCATGTACTCATAATCCAATCACAAATATTTCTATCTAGATTTAAATATATTTGTTTATGAATATAGAATAGAAACTCAATCGAAACTTGACAAGCATGAACATCTTTGTATAGTACCAATTAGTAAGTCTTGCCATAGATCAGCTAGCTTACAAAAGTAATAACCATAAAGCAAAAAGTAATTAATGTGAAAGTCCATCTATTCCTTATTCCTATGTTCAATAAAGTTAAAATTTTCTTCAGTGGAATAGTTTTACTGTCTATCCAGGAGTATGTCAGAAAAGTCAGGTTTTTAGGGGGAATTGTTTATTCCCCTTGAAATCAGGAGCCAGAGCAAGGTGCCTGCAATCTCCATTACTACATTGTACTGGAGGTGTGAGCAGATGTAGTTAGATAAGAGAAAGCAATCACACAAGGAAAAATCCAAAAGGATCAACCAAAACTGCTACAATTAACAAGAGAATTTGGAAAACGTAGTAGGATTTAAAGTCAAAATACAGAAACTGCCTATATATAGGACGGCTGTTTGTTACTAAATACTGAAATCTACTCTAATGCCTCTATAATTGTAGTATTGGCACATAAATAAATGGACCAGTGGAACAGAATAGTAGAAAGACACAAAGCATATGAAAGTTTTAGAATACAAAAGATGGGTTTTTAGTGACTTTAAGATAACTAAAAATAGCCATATAGATATATTTCAAACAGACTGAAGAGCTGACTGTAAAAATGAAAGCATACAAGTACTAGAAGACACAAGTGAGATTCCATTATAACCTAAGAGCAGGGAAAACTACATTCTGTGACTTAAAATCTAGAAGTAAAACTACGTATTAATCATTTTTCACTACATAAAAATAAATGCTTACAGGGCAAGAAAAACCCCACCATAACCAAAATCAAATGACACGTTGAGAGGATTCCAACATTTATGAACAAATACTTCATAGAAAAATAAATGTAAATAATCTTTAACATAAGTAAAGTTGCTTACCTTGTTCAGATAAGAAATACTAAAAAAAAAACCACACTGCTTACCTTTCACTGGAAAAACTCCAGTTTAACATACTGATCATGTTAAGTCCAAGGAGAAATAGGACACATATACATGGGAATGGAATAAAAACAAACTTTGGTTAATATTCATGAAAGAGTATTTGGTAATATTTATTAGAATTACATATGCATTTATTCCCCTGACTCAATTCTTTGAGGCTCACTCTAAAAGATATACTGGCAAAAATTTGGAATGATAAATGCAAAAGATTATAAACACCCAAATGTCTGTTTACTGGGGAATACATTATGGTACATCCACAGGAGGGAGTACTTAGTTACAAAAGGAATGCAGATGGCTTCTATGTAGTGATACAGTATGATCACCAGGATAGAGTAAGTGGAAAAGCTAAGTACAGAGGATTATTTATGGTATACATACTACCTTTGTGTGTGTAAGAAGGGGTGTGAAATGTGAATAAATGCACATATTTGTTTATATTTTAAAAAACTGGAAGAGTAAACCCCAAACTAATAAAAATTGTTACCAGTAGGGTATGGAAGCTATACTTCTGTGGATCTATCTTTTTTCTACAGTTTTGACTCAAGAACCATCTTAAAATTTAACATGATTGAAAAAGTGAGTAAAAACCCTAAAATTTGAAAACAAAACACTGTCTTAGTACGTTCCAGCTGCTGTAATAAAATTATCTTAGATTGGGTAATTTATAGATAGAAATTTATTTCTTACAGTTCTGCAGGTTGGGAAATCCAAGATTTGGCACCAGCAGATCTGGTGTCTCGCAAGGGCTTCCTTTCTGCTTCCAAGATGGTGCCTTCTCACAGTATCCCCACAGCACTAGGGCAAAGGGGACAAATTCCTTCCCTTAACCTCTTACAAAGGCACTAACCCCATCCATGAGGGTGGAGCCCTCCTGGCCCAATTACCTCCTAGAGGCCACATCTCAACGCTGTTGCACTGGGTATTAAGTTTCAACAATTTTGGAGGTTCACAAACATTCAAACCATAGCATGCATGTCAAGTTGGCAGTATAAACAAGTTACTTGAAAGGAACTTCTAGAACACTATTCTGACTGTACATTGATAGTGAGATGGATTCTAAGAACCACAAAGGAATCTTAAACTGTAATCGCTGGTGTTGGTAGTAGTAAGATTAGTAGTATATTTAAGCTTTTTATATATTTTATAAAAAAGGTAAATAAGCTGATGTCATTAGGAGCTAGGATGTTTACATAAAAGATAAAAGTATAAAATCAATACAAACTCACCATTATTTTTACAAAATAATCTTTACAAAAATACACACTTCCTAGCAAGGCCCACCAAAAGGACCTAAATGCAACAACATTTCACTAGCAATGAGCATCGTTAAGTGCTCAGTGTGGTCTCTATACACCATGTCCCACTACTAGGACCAGGAACCCTTGGAAAAATCGAGGCAGGAAATGTACAAGGTAAGCCTCAGTTATCTTACGCTAGAAAGCAAGGAAGTACAGAATACTCCTGTACAAAGTCAACAATACACGATCCAACTTAAGGGGTGGATGAGACAATTTGAACATCAAAAAGAATGACGAGTGGATTGCAACCCTAAATATATAAAAACCCTATAAGTTCATAATGATAGTGAAAAACAAATGATAAACCATTTCCACTGGCTAGAGCACCTACACATTTACTCTGAAAATTAACAAGAGAATCATGCATTTACCTTGCCTTGAAGGACAGTTCATTTCAGGGAACTGTAGATAAGGGAAAGTTCTTGGCAGAAAAATCCAGCCAATACAGAAAAAAATTATGGAATTAGTGCAACCTCTGTGGAAAAGAATTTGGAGATACCTCAAAGAGCTAAAAATAGAAATACCATTCGATCCAGCAATAGCACTATTAGGCATCTACCCAAAAGAGCACAAAACATTCTACGGTAAGGACATCTGCACCCGAATGTTTATGGCAGCACAATTCACTATTGCAAGAATGTGGAAACAACCCAAGTGCCTGTCAATCCATGAGTGGATTATTAAAATTTGGTATATGTTTACAATGGAATATTAATAAGAAACGACAGTGATCTAGCACCTCTTATACTTTCCTGGATTAAACTTAAGCCCATTATTCAAAGTGAGGCACCACAAGAGCAGAAGAATGGGCTCCACTTGTACTCGCCATCAAATTGGTACTAACTGATCAACACTAGGGTGATCACATGGCAGAAATACTCTCCAGGGATTAGGGGGATGGGGGCAGGGTAAATCCACAACTAAAGGACACGGGGAGCATTGTAGGGGGGGAAGGGCATGCCTTTAACCCGCACTTGGGTGAGGCAAAGACATAAAGTGTAACCATAATGTTTGTACCCTCACAATACCCTGTAATAAAAAATAAAAAAAAAAAAAGGTTGGAAATGGGACTAAGTTTCTAATATGGTTAGCATTCTGTTACAGCTTTACGACAACGATGCTTACATCTGGTTGTCTTCTTTTTTTTTTTTTTTGAGACAGAGTCTCACTTTGTTGCCAGGGCTAGAGTGCCATGGCGTCATCCTAGCTCACAGCAACCTCAAACTCCTGGGCTCAAGCGATCCTCCTGCCTCAGCCTCCCGAGTAGCTGGGACTACAGGCATGCGCCACCATGCCTGGCTAATTTTTTCTATATATTTTTAGTTGTCCAATTAATTTCTTTCTAATTTTAGTAGAGACGGGGTCTTGCTCTTGCTCAGGCTGGTTTTGAACTCCTGAGCTCAAACAATCCGCCCACCTCGGCCTCCCAGAGTGCTAGGATTACAGGCATGAGCCACCGCGCCCGGCCACATCTGGTTGTCTTCAGGCTTGATCCTACATATAAGTAAATTACATGACTATCTCCGACAGTTGACATAGAGGCAAGAAAAAAAAATGTTCTGCACCAAAATATTTCTCTCTCTGGCTTGAATTTCTGCATTAGATGCTCTTTTCTATTTGTTATTAAAAGCTTCTGCTGAAATGCAAATGTGTTATCTGGAATAACAAACTATCATCCCAAATTAAAAAAAAATTATGGAATTAGAAAATCACCATTGAAACCCTTAATGAAATAGATCAGGGTAACTAACAATCATCAATGATATGTGAAAACCATTAGGTGACACGGTAATGAGTGGTGAACTCCAAATGCAGGGACCAGGCTGACCCCACATGAACCCAGTCATCAACCTAAGCGCCGTTAAAAGTTGGACAACCAGATACGTGCCTTCTGATGTGGCAGAACACAGCCACAGCTGATGAAAATTCATCCCTAAAAAGCTGAACCTGAATCTAAGGCAGCCTCTGGATGTAGCTGCTACCACACAGGAAATTTAGAGAACAGAGTAATAAAATTAGAAGACTTGAAAGAAGTAAACAGCCAAAGGTTGGACATTATACAGAACAAATGGCCTGGTTGCTCCAACAAATAAATGAATGACATAAAGAAGCGAGGAGTGGAAGAATCGGCTTATGCAACCAAATGAAATACATGGATCATGCTTGGACTCATTCGAACAACCCAAAGGATGAGGGTGTTCTATCACTGATAGGCCAGAAATCAGCAAATTCGATTGTTGTAGTTATGATTTGATTCATAGTATTAGTTGAGATATTAATGACAACATTCCAGTTGCTGTCATGTAAATTCAGGAAACATGAATAGAAGGTATATCATAATTCCCTCATAACTTCACCTTCACCTGAGTTCCAGACTCTGCTGTCCATCCGCACTCTAGACTTCATCAGATGACACGGGCATCGCAAACACTGCATGACTGAAACCTGAATTCACCTATCTTGTTTCCCCTAAACCTCGTTTTTCCCCAAATTTTCTATCTTAGAGTTGCCCTCTACCATCTATGCAGGCACTCATACCAGGAACCCAAAGAGAATACAGATGTAATCAGTCTTGCCCAATTTTCTTTCCTAAATAATACCTTCAAAATCTGTCCTCCCTTCTCCTTTACTAATACCACTACCTTAGTTCGCAAACTGGTTATCCTTCCTTTGCTTAAACTCTAATATCTGGTATTTAAATGAAGTCTTAACTCCATCACACGGTTTGTGAGATTACGGTATGGCCCTTGTCTTGTGTTTCCTATTTCTGATACACTGGCGTGATTGCAGTTTCACTGTTCGATTATCTTCTCTGTGCCTTTGCTTCTTTGCCTTTTGTTCCCACTTTTCACAGTTCTCATCTCTTGCCTCCTGCTTTAAGTTCTCTAGGAACATTCTCCTGATGTTAAGTAGGTGCTTCCATAGTGCTACGTATATTTTTATCACTGGGCTGATCACGCTGTTGAGTTACTGCACGAGACCACCTGTTGCTACCTTTACTCATTTCTGTTACAGATTAAACAAACGCGAATACAGGGAATGTGTACTACTCCAACAAAACTTTTCTTTGGATAGATTTGCAGGGGCTTAAAGAGGTATATTTAGTTCTAAAGGCCCTTACAGATGGAACAAGAAAACTCTTAGTGGTTCTTCTGTTCAGCCATCACAGAAAGAAGTTGAGCATTAATTAGATAATCCAGAACATGAGTTTTGCCTTCCAACCTACTGTTTCTCTAACAATAAACTAATAGTAATGTGAGCTCTGCAGGTCAAGAAAGCGAGCCCAGACTATAAATTGCCACAGATAAGCTACGTGTCAATTAGTTGGATTATCTATAGTACTGCTTTATGAAATAATGTTCTTAAAAAATGTAAACTCGCTAGGTGCTGTGGCTCACGGCTGTAATCCTAGCACTTTGGGAAGCCAAGGCGGGAGGATCACTTGAGAATAGGAGTTCAAGACCAACCTGAGCAATACAGTGAGACCCCATCTCCACAAAAAATAAAAAAATTAGCCAGCGACATGGTGTGCGCCTGTAGTCCCAGCTACTCAGGAGGCTGAGGTGGGAGGATGCATTGAGCCCAGGAGTTGGAGGTTGTAGCGAGCTATGACGACACCACTGTACTCTAGCCTGGTGACAGAACAAGACTGTTTCAAAAAAAACTCAACAACAACAAAAAAACCCCACGACCCCTGAGAAACCCTTACATGTTACTAAAAGATTAAATGTGGAGGAACAGGTGTGAAGGAAAAGAAAGGCATTCAGGTAATATTTTCACAGAAAATATTTTTTATTGTTCTACTCTTTGCGCCATGTATGGGAACAGTATGTTTAATCTGTTAAATCCAATAGGAAGGATAATTCACTGAGAGAATGAAACATCCACATCTCTTCATTTAAAATTTAGAAGCAATTTAACTATAGACAGCATCAGGTAGACTAGACAACTATACTAGGCCCCTATAAAGAGTAGGATTTTGTCTATTAGAAAAGTCTCTTCTTGCCAGAACTGGCTTCCCTGCAAGCTCAGTAGGTTCTGGAGCTGATTTACCATATTGCTCGCTGGACCCCAGAAAGTTGCCCGTGGTCGGCTAAATGACGGAAGACGATACGACTAAGCCTCCAGCGCCGCTTTACACCACGTGGACGGGATGTCATGACACACCGGTTTCTGATTCTAACGGGACAGCTATCCCGTGGAAGGGCAGCAATTTCTTCATCGGCCACTTCCTAAGGGAGATCACATTATCACACAGATCACATGCATTTATTTATTCTAGATGCTTAAGTCAATGCTTAGAGGAAAAGAAAAGGCTAGATTCATCCATGAACTCAGAGTTTAGCCAAAGAACCCTGGACACAGTACTGAACCTTAACTTCCAAGTAGAAACAGACCAGAAAGCTACCAGAAATGTCTGACATCCTCCCAATGTGATTTTTAAATATCGAAACTTAAAACAGAATCATAAGACTCCACAAACCGTAAGGATGAAGCTCAGTAAATTCTCACAAACAGAATATACCTGTGTAACCAGCATGAGATTATGGAAGGGAACGTTATCAGCACCCCAGGCCCTACCTGGGCCTCCTTGCAGTCACGAATGCTCTGCTACCAGCTTACCTAATGACTAACACCAGGGATGAGTTTTTCCTGTTGTGAATTGTATATAGATGTAACCTTAGAGTATGCACTCTATTTATTCATTTCTGTTTGGCTTCTTTAATTGAACAATATATTGTGAGATTCACCCAATATTGTTGCACCTGTAATTTGCTCATTCTCACTGGTGGCAATTTTCATTGCACGAGTATACTGTAATTCATTCATCCACTCTACAACTGATGGTCATGTGGCTAGTTTCCAGTTTGAGCTACTATGAAGAGTGCTGCTACGTACATTCTTACTTAAGTCATCTGGAAACATGTGAATGTATTTCTGTCTCCTTGTATAATTTTTGAATCACAAAAGTCTGAAATCTCTGGGCTACCTACCGAGTAGGAGGGAATGTGGATTGAGATGAGACTGGCGAGGGGGAAGAGCAGGATCACACAAACCCTCGAAGTGTGTGGTAAATTAGCTTCTGACTGCTGGAGAAGTAAAGGGCAGTGACCCGATGAGATTGAAAATTCATTTGCAATGTAAAGAATGAATCTGGCAAGGGCAAAGTGATAGAGGGAAGAGAAGCAGCAGCTTGGGCTAAGGTTTTGTCGGTTCAGATTTATTCTCGTGCATGTGCTTAACTGTGAGTTAAGGTGTGTGTTTGTAATATTCACTTTAACCTGACTAGTGTGCTGACAAGCACGATTGACCCTGTGCGAGACTGTGACGGAAGCAAAACAATCACTCTAACACGTTAAACGGACACAAATTAGATGAGAGAATGCACATGAAAGCCACTAAAGCGATGTAAACTGAAAGCTTATGCATGTGTTGCCATCACGCAATACTTAGAGCACTACATAAATCAGCATGATTAAGTCAACGAGCTGCAGATAAGTGCTGTAGAAGGAAATGGAGAGAAAAAATGACTGGGCTGGAAGATTGAAGCAACGTCTCATGGAGGCAGACCTTCGAGAATGGCCACAATTTATTTATTTACACGCATCCCTGCTCATTCCCAAAGAGATTCAAGGCAGCTCCAAGGAGGAATGGCGGCAAAGAGAAATGAGAGTAGAAAAGGGAAAAGCCTCAGGGCGCGGAAGTCACGCTGCGAAAGCCTGCAGGGGTGCTGTGAGGGGACGCAGAATCTGACTTGTAAGCTACGCGGCAGGCAACAGAGCCAGGTCGGTCTCCACCATCGGACTCCGCACAGCTACTGCTGGTGCTGACACCAAAGACACCTCTTCCGGTGGCAGGGAGGTCCTCATAAACAATGTACTCAGTAACCCCCGCTCCCACCTTTGCTCGAGGTATAACTGACAGATAAATTTGTATAGTTTAAGGTGTACAGTGTCACGTTCGATGTACGTATACACCGTGAAATGATGACCACAATCAGGCTAACACCCCTCCCCTCACATAATTACCGCAGCGCGTATGGTGAGAACACTTCAGATCTGCTCTCTTAGCAAATTTCAAGTACACAACGCAGTACTGTTGACTATAGTCACCATGCTGTACTTGCGATCTCCAGAATTTATTCATCTCATAACTAAAAGTTTATACCCTTTGACCAACATCTCCCCATTCCTCCCCGGCCCCCTGTCCCCGTCTCCCAGCTCCTGGTACCAACCATTCTACTCTCCGCTTCTGTGATCAACAACGTCTTGAGCTGAGTTTCTGAGGGGCCACTTACTACTCCCTAAGTGTAGGCAGATAGCTTAACGCCGTTCCAGCAAAAGCCATAACAGAGCGGTCCAGGGCCCTCAGTTTTCTGCTCATCTAGCTGAATCCAGAGAAGACTTAAAAGAATCCATAGTAATAAATAGGATGTATATCATTCTGCCAACTTCTATAAATACTATTTTTTAAAAATGTGAGCTCTTGGTAAGTTGAGTGGCCTTGAGTTTGATTTATACTCTCTGACAAGCCTCTTGCAGATATTCTGTGTCACCACTTAGGTGTAGGACCTTATGCTTGAGGAAGCCAAGCAGGGTTGACATCCTCTTACTCAACCTGAGCAGCATGACAAGAAGGTGAGCCCAACTGGAAAGGCACCTCAGCACACAGAGGTGGTTAAGGGAGTTCGGGAAGACAGGCTAGCAATAGGCCTGGGAGGGAAACACGCCACGTGCTAGGCACATGGCTCCCTGAATCAGCAGAGCCTCCCAACGCCTTGAAAGTTGAAAGTTTGGGATGAAGTGGGGGAGAGACTTTAGGTGAAAATAACTGCCCAATTTCTGTGTGGCCACCATTCACCAGTACTTTTAAGGATCACACAGTGAAATGGTTGAAAGGCTAGTTAGGAGCCAATAGTTGTCTTTAATCTGAAACTTATCAAAATCAGTTTCAAGGCTATCTGCTTATATTGACGTGGAGTATTTCATCTTATTCTCCAGAAATTATATTGATACTAATTCACAACAAACATCAAAAGTGATCTGACGTGAGTTAATGATCTCCTGGTAGAAGGACTCATCTTAATTAACTAACCTGAAGAATTTTTGGCAAGATTGTATTCTTCCGGAGCGAATTGATGCGTAGCCTCTGATCTGCATATTCATAGGCCATTTTTCGTCTCTTCACATCACGCAACATTCTCCAGTCTACGTAGTAACCTCGAACTTGGCCTGAAGCTGATGAAGGAACCATCTACGAGACAGAGACAAGGAATTTGTAAAGGGCAGTCAGGCCTAGGCTCTGTGAGTGTCCCCAACCCTGCGATCCTCTTTCAGTCACTATTTATGACCTAGCATTTTCTCTAAAGTTGTTTTGGATCACTTTAGCAATTTAAAATGGGCTTCCTAATTCAGAATAAATAACTATTATGGATGTACATTAAGTCAAACATAATGCCAATAACATACGTGTTGAAGGGTGAAAGATTTCCAGAAATTTCTGACATAATTCTGTTTGACCTTTACTCAGGCCAACAGTCACATGGTTCAAAAATAAAAAAGTATAAAAGAACATACAGTGAAAAGTTTCCCTCCCATCTCATTCTTCGCCTGCCCAGTGACCGCCCCCCAAACCCACAGGTATCCAGTTACCAGTTTCTTGTATATCCTTCCAGAGATTTTTATCTATACAAACACAATCTGCCTCTCACGTTTCATTCGCCCCCTTTTTCTCACCTAACAATATCTCTCAGAGATCTTTCCATAACCATATGAAAGAAGCTTCTTCATTTTCCTTAGATTGCATAATATTCCACTGTTTGGAAGCATCATAATGTATTTAACCTATGACCAACTGGTGGACAGCTAGACTCAACCTCACTATCATTACAACAATGCTGCAATAAATAATGTCTTATATAAATCATTTCATATGTATTCCTGTATGTCTGCAGGATACATCCTTGGAAGCAGAATTGCTGGGTCAAAGGGTACTTTGAAATTATCACTGACCTGATATTTCTTAGCACTAGCTGTCCAGTAATAAGACAGTACATTCTTTATTGTCATAGATTTTCACGGTGATAATAGTTCTGACTGACAACACAGGCAAAGGAAGTCTAGATCACTAGAAATTTAAGTCTCCCTCAAACCAGAGGAAATATCACATGTTAATTAAGTTGCAGATATGCAAATTAATGATGGCTTCCTATAACTGATGTTTATAGAAGAAATATACAAATAGCAGAATATAAAACTGAAAATAAGAATACTAAATAGAAAGTCAACATTTTTTCAATCTATTAACAAAAGATAAACTGAGCGCTTTTGACGCTCACATTACTAAAGTCCTATGGGGAAATATAATGATTCCACAATCACCTTTTAGAAAAAAGACAAGCAGGAATATTAATAGAATTTAAATATTGATTTGGCGCATGACTGAGTCCAGTGAATACTGTGGTAACCATGGCTGGAAATATTTACCATGGGGAGGGGGGCTAAAGCAAGGCTTTGAAAGATTGACAGACTTTTGACATAGCTGGGGGGCAGGAGAGGGAAGAGAAGATACAGTTTGTGCAAACAAAACACAGAAAAGTGCAAGATATATTCTTAAGACCAGGGAGAAATCATTCTGACTGAAAGAAACAATTCACGCGAGGGGCCATGTGAAGTTCGCTTTCACCTATGAAAAAGTTAAGGGGATTTATAATACAAGATTAAACATTTCTTCTCTGAATTCTTTTTCAAACTACGCCTAATCACCTTCTTTACTGTCTCCTTAAAGGTTCCTATTTATTTTTTAAAGTGATCTTTCATTCTATTTTGAACACCTTTATGACTACAAAAAGTAATACTTTTAAAACAAAATATGTATTGGTCTATATTATTTCTTCTGTGAATGTTTTTATCTCCTTTGCCTACATTTCTACTGTATTTCCTCATCAGCTTGTAACAGTGCTTTATTAAGATTGCATTCTAGTCTGCTCTGTACACACACACCCTATCCTGCCCCCATCTCTTACCCCTCTTCACCTCCTAAAACTTTTCCACCGGGCCCTCTCGATTCATGGTCTATCATCATCAAAATCTTCTAAATCCTCAACTTAACATCTCCTTCACCTTGTGGTCTAATCTTGAATCCCTCCTGACAGCTTCCCCTGTGGCTCTTTTCTCCAGGACTGGGTCTGGAGGTAGGGTAGACAGGTGTTCTCCTTGCTCTTCACTGCAGCTTCTGGACCTCCTTCCTTCCTGAAACCTCTGGCTTTGGCTCTCATGCCACTGGGCTTACCTCCCACCGCCTCTCACTGTTGCAGCCATCTACCATAGCCCTGTCATTTTTCCGTGATTTTGGATCCTGGCTCACTGTCACTCTCTCCAATATTCTTCCTGTCTTAATTCCTAGTGATTTCAATACACACGAAATCATACCCTGATCACTCTGATCTCTGAACTCCCCTTCTTTAATGATTTCTGTTCTCCACTCTTCTCTAACGATTCACTTCCATGCCCTAGGTCTTTCAGTACCAAGAAACACAACCCCTCTATTATCTCAGTTTTGTGTATCTTATTCTCTATCACTTCTTTCCAGCTTGCTCCTTCTAATTCCCCAATGACAACACCTCTGGGACTTTCAATCCACTGATTATATCATCTTTTTACCATCTCTCAGCTTTTGATTTCCTGTCTTTCTCTCACACCCAGCCTGAATTCCATGGTTTATAAATACAATATTCTCTTGAATACACTCTCAACTTCCTGGCCATCTCTCACTTCTCCATACTTACTCCAAATTCTCCCAACTATTCTTCCTGTCCATTCCCAACTATTTTACATGGTCTCCCTTTCCTTAAAACCATGACACCTGCTCCCACATCCTCACACTCAGCTGACTCCACATTCTCCTCAACTATAAAATTAGAAGCAGTCAGAAGAGCATTTCCGTCAACTCCCACTACCACACCTGGCCTCTCACCAGCTGAATCATATGCTCTGCATTCCCTCCTGTTAGAAATTCACTCCGTCCAATATAGTAACCACATGTGGCTAGTAAGCCCTTGTAATCAAACTATTGCAATTAGGGAATGTAATTCTTAATTTTAATTAAAATTTAAAACCAAAGCAATGTAAACATTATACAATGTTATTGTTTTGGTAGAACTACATTTTCCATTTTAATGGTGGAAAATTTAGTAACCAAACTGAGATGTGCTTTAAATGTAGGATACAAATTGGATTTTGAAACTCTAGTATGAAAAAAAGAAAAAAGTGAATATCTCATAAGTCATTGTTTACTGATTACATGTTAAAATAACAATATTTTGGATATATCTGCTTAATCAGAATATCATATTAAAATTAGTTTCACCAGCTTATTACTTTTTTTAATGTGCCTACTGGAAAAATTTTAAGTTACATACGTGGTTCGCACTAGGTTTCTTTTGGACAACACTGCTTCAGATGAACCGTCCATGTCCCTAAAGCCAAACTTCATGCACAAGACCCCTTTGCCTCTTGCCTGCACAAAGGTATAGTTCCAGGAACTCTTCCCTCTCTCCTCTATCACCAATTTTTTCCACTCTACAGGATCTCTCCCTTTAATACACAATCGTGTTGTTACTTCTGCCACGCCAAAAGAAAACAACTCACTCTTAATCCACTTCCCTCCCCATTTACTTAGCCATTTTTTTGCTCCCCTTTATAGCAAAACTCCCTCAAAGGCTGGTCTAGTTTCCAGTTTCTTTCCTCCTATTCTCTCTGGCACAGTTTCGACCCCATCCCGCCGTCAAGGTCCCAACAGCCTTCACACTGCTAAACCCTACAGCCAGGTCTCAGCCCGTCTTTCTGATTGTCCGGTCCACTTCGAGCAGAGCTGCCCACTCCTCGCTCCTCCAAATTCTGTCGTCCCTTGCTGCCGGGCCATCGCACTCTCTCGGTTCTCCTCCTCCCTCGCCGACAGCTCCTTTCGGTCTCCTTTGCACGGTTCTCATCTCTTAACGATGAAGTCTCTTCTCTACTCACACTACCTTATAAATCGGAGTCAGTCTCGCATCTTTCAATGCCAGTCACAAGCTCGCGAAAACCACACTTACATCTGCGGCTCAGACCCGCCCCGAGGCAAGCTGGAGGAGGGGAAGTGAGCAGAGGGAAAACCCCTGGGGTTGGTCTGCACGGGGCGCCACAGGCGGCAGAGTCGTGGGGGACCGCGGGTTACACGACTCAGGGGTGAGGGATACGGATGGGAATAAAGGCGCGGGCCTGACCTGCCGGAACGTCCGCAGCAGCGAGCCCAGCATGGAGGCCGCCATCTTGTCCGCCGCAAGCGCCCAAACGCTGCAACTTTATTGACACTGCCGAATCCAGACACACGTGAGGGGCGGGGCCTGGGCCACTGGGGGCGGGGCCGCGGGCGCGTTCGCAGCACACAGGAAGGAGGGGTTAGTTAGGGGATGTGAACTCTCGCGATATTTCACAGAATTTGGGCAAATCACAAAGCGCGGGACCAGGTGTTGGTACTGAAGGCTTACGGGGCGCTCCTCGTTAGGGGCCCTACTCCCGTTATTTTTACACACCCTCTTAAACTACCTGCGTCCTACCCACCTCCTTTCCTTCCGCCCCACGGACCAGTTCATCAGCACGAATTTCTGTACCCTCGTGTCCTTGTCTGTCCCGCTCAACATGCTCCTCCTGTATCCGCCACTCAGTTTAGGACACTACTTGCCAGAAACCCAGGAATTATTACCGACACCTCCTTCTCAGTCATCGCCTCCTGTAGAGCTTGCACATCTCTTCTTTCCACTATAATGGTGGTGGTGATGATAATGATGATGGTGGCAACGATAAAGATAGTCCATTTATATGTCTGTATTTTTTATACATGTCTGCATTGGGGTTTTACGTGAAAAGGGCCTTAACATTTTGTTCGTCTTGTTGGGGAGGGGGGAATTGCCATTTAAAACCGCTGTTTTCAGTCTGGAGTACAGGAAACTAACTTTTCAGGTTATCTTCACAGCAGCTGTCCTTCCTCGGCAATGAACACTTTGAGGGGCCCCTTTTCTTTTATAAATGTAAGGCGAGTACCAGCCACCTGCAATGCCGGTAGAAGAGTATCAAGGGATATGTATTAGCCTGGCAAGTACCTGTGTCTTAGATGTGCTGGTGGGAGGAGTGAGGACATACCCAAGTGCAATTTACATCTGTATGGTTGCACAGGAGCCTTCTGGGAGGAAGGAGAGCTGAATTCAAGCTCCTTTCTTTAGCAGCAGTCCCCAGCCTTTTTGGCACCAGGGATCGTTTTCATGGGGGAAGACAATTTTTCCACGGGACCGGGCAGGGTAGGGGGGATGATGGTTTGGGGATGATTCAAGTGCATTACATTTATTGTGCACTTTATTTCTATTATTATTACATTGCAATATATAATGCAATAATTAATGCAATATATAATGCCTCTAAGGCATTAGACCCCTGCCTTAGAGGTTCAAGATTATTGGAACATGTCTAATGGACTGGGGAGGGACTGACTGAGGCCAGCTGGCAGGAAAAGACAACATAACCTCATTCTGTAATGATAATGGCAGGAAAGTCCTAGACCAGTATCAGGCAGGCATGCATTTCTAACTCAAGCCCATGTGATACCCTTCTCTCCTTCCCCACAATCAAGGGCCATCGTCGGTAATCAGCTAATGAAATGGGTCAGCCAGCTCTGTGCTCTGTGGCCTTTTACCTCCTTTCTGAAAACCTAGTTCTGAAAGCATCTCTCTCTCTCTCTGTCTCTCTTTTGTAGGTTGTGTTTTTGTTCTATATTATTGGTATGACAGGGAACGGAGCCAGGAATCCACCTCCACAATCCCATAGGAAGAACAGTTAGGAGAATTATATACATCTAGAGCGGGTACAGGACTTGGGCTATATCTTCCTGGGAAGTGGCTGGAAAGACTCAGGCTTAGGGCACAGGAGCCCAGGCCGACCTGGTTGTTGGCCTCGTCAAAGACGGCAAAGCACTAGTGGACAAAGAGGCAGCCTAGGATCCAGAGCTCTTGTGGCAGTGGGGAAGTTCATGCTGGTGCAGCCCTGCTGCCTCTTTACTGGTTTATTATAAAGGATATTATAAAGGACACAGATGAACAGCCAGTTGGAAGAGATGCACAGGGCAAGGTATGTGGGAAGGGGTATGGAGCTTCCATGCCCTTCCTTGGCACACCACTCTCCAGGAACCTCCACATGTTCAACTATCTAGAAACTTCCGAACACATCTTTAAACAGTATTAGAAAAAAAATTTAATTTAAAAAAAATTGTGGTATGATATATAACATAGAATTTACTATCTCAGACATTTTAACCGTTCAGTTCATAGATATTATGTTCACATTGTTGTACAACCATCACCACCATCCATCTCCAGAAATTTTTTGTCTTCCCAAACTGAAACTCTGTACCATTAAGCAATAACTTCCCCTTCCCCCTTCCTCTCCTCCCCTGGCTGTCACCATTCCACTTTCTGTCCCTGTGAGTTTGCTCCAGGTAGCTCATCTAAATGGAATCATGCGGTATTTGTCCTTTTATGTCTGGCTTTAGGATTCATCCATATGGCAGCATGTGTCAGTATTTCATTCTTTTTTATGGCTGAATAATACTCCATTGTATGGCTTTACTACATTTTGCTTCTCTATTCATCTGTGGATGGACACTTGCTTTGCTTCTACCTTTTGGCTGTTGTGAATAATGCTGCTCTGGACATGGGTGTACAAATACTTTATACAGCATTGGTATCTTATTAGGCTGTTTTTCACTTTATGAAGAGATTAAAGCAATTTAATAGTGAGGGTGAGGCAGGAATCTCTCTTTAATTAACTGTGTTGATTTTGTGTAACAGCCTAAGATTTCTCCCCCAACACACCCTCCTCCCTTAGTGTGTAGGGAAGCTTAGCAGGGCCTAAAGAAGATTCGCTTTACCTGGAGTTCTCCCAAGGAGTCTGAAATTTTCCCTGGCCATTTGACAGCATGGGGAGAAGGCTGTTGGCCTTACTGTCCTGGAATGTTAGAATCAGGAGAACTATCATCATTCATTCATTTAATCATTCAACAAATATTTAAATGCCTATTACATACCAGCATGTAACTGTGTGGGGGATGGAGGGACTGAAAAAAATCCTTGTTCTTTAGATTCTTATATTCAACTGGGGATTATAGATTTAGATACAGGTGGAAATATCTCCCAGTGCCTGTTATGTTACCTTTGATTTTTCCTTATATTCTTTCATTTGGAGGCTTTAAA